GATACATGAGGGAAGGGGGCAGAGGGGCCAGCCTGGCGCTGGACTAGTTGAACCTTGTTTGATTTTTGTCATAATCACTTGCTGTGAAACACTTCTAAAAGTTAAATGCCTCTGACATTTCAGCCTTCTTTTAATGAGGTGAGAGGAAAGCAGTAAAATGGACCATAGAGTCCTCAGCAGTGATCTGGTTCAGCCCTCATGTGCAGATAGGGACACTGAGGCAGAGGAGTGAAGAACGTGAAGTGGCTCGTCCACGGCCACACAGTCCGAGTTGCCCTGGTGAAAGTGATTCCTGTATCTTGTTGCTGTCTTTGTGGCTCCTTCCGGGGGCACTGACCTTGCTCAGGGCCTTCTCCCTTCACCCCCTGCCCCTATTGGACACCATGACTGAGGGACAGGGGAAATGCCAGGGTGCTGGCTGAAGAGGTACCCCTGGAACAGGGCTCACTGGCAGTGGGACTGCCCTGCCCCAGCTCCAAGCAGTCGTTCTCTTAACTGTTTACTGTGTACAGCTCATCATCGTTGTAATGGCAGTAAGTGTGGCGCTTAGTGTGTGCCAGGACCATTCTAACACTTGACACATATTAAACCCCTTCAGCCCTCCCAACACCCTGCAAGTTAGATGCTTTTATTATCATCCCTGTTTTACAGATGAAGAATCTGAGGTACAAAGAGGTTATATAACTTGCCCAAACTCAGACAGCTAATAAATAAGAGCCAGACTTTCAGAGTGGCTTCCCGGCTCCAGCACGCTGGCTTCACCAGGAGGTGCTTCTGCGTCATCTGGTCTCGGAGCAGGGAGGCCTGCCACACAGCGACCTCAGGCCAAGGGCACCAAGTGCCTGGTGCTGGTTAGGCAGGGCACGAACTCAGGATCCTCACTGAGATGGAGAGATGGTGTTCTGGGTTTGTCTCTCCAGCAGGATTTTATTTAACTTAAAAGCCTTTGTAAGGACCTTCTTAGAGTTTCCCTTTTAAAGGCAGTTGTGTTACATGGGGGCAAAACTATATTATATGCCGGAGGGGGGAATTTGATATGCGCTTTCTGTCCCCGTTTTATTGGAAACCAGCCTGTCAGTTCCCAGTGACTGCCCTTGTGTCTGCTTTCGGTGCAGTAGCCCTTGAAACAGTGCGAAGGAAAGGTGTTCACTGTGGCTTGCTTTACTGTGTGTGTGTGTGTGTATGGTTCCTGCCTGTCTCCCTAGGTTTTTTGAGGTCTTTGATTAGCCTTATACAGCCCCCTGGGACTTTGTGGTCTGGAGTCTCTGAGACAGCAGAGGTCTCTGTAGGCAAAGGCAGTTCCGAGAGGGCAGCTCAAAGGTCCTTACAGCCCTTTAGCTCGAGCAAACAACCTCACTCTGTGGACTGAAGCCCAGTGGGAGCCCTGGTCTTGCTTTTCAGTAGTTGAGAAAGCACGGAATCCAGCTTTTCCCCTACTCTGTTTTTTCAGCAGTACTGTGGGGACTGTTTCCTGCTGGGTTCCTGGCATGCCAGCTGTGTTGTGTGGAACCCTGGAGCGAACACCTAGAAGAGTCTGGCCCAGCCACTGCCCTGCAGTGACTGTGGTCCTAACAGAACAGCATCCTCCGGGCCCTGAGAAGACAGGCTGCAGGAGGCACATACCCCTGCCTTCAAGATTTTGCAACTACCAGGAAAGATGAGATGATTAGAAAAGCAGACAGCATGTAGGAAGCGTAATCAGCAGGTACAAGGAGGGCTGCCTCAGTGTGCCAGCCAGTTACTCCTCAGGGGTGCAGGCTTTGACATAAGCATGTGGGGCAGAAGTGGAAACAGATCACGGATGTTTGAGGCAGTCAGAGGCAGGAACACGGGTCAGGAAGGGGTCGAGGGTGTCAGGTAGTTGAGGCTAGATTGTGGAGGGCATTGACTGACAGGCTGAGGTGTTCGGCCCTTTTCTTCATAGGTTAGTGGTTCTCAGGCTTTGCCCAGAGGAATGTATAGCCCTTCCAGGAGCTGGGCCAGGAATGGTACTGTGAGAGGTGAGGCATAGAGGTCTTTTCCTGATTTGCAGGAAAAATTAATCAATAGAATTTTCCCGATCTTGAGTCTTTCTTCCTTCCATACTTTAGAAAAAAGTATGGGACCCCTTGTCATCTAAGGAATTTTAAGCAGATTCCAAAGTGAACGAACAAGTAGCAAATAGATGTTAAGTAAGGAGGTCAGCAGGCACAGATTATTCACAGCTTTTGTTGACTGGACATCTGTTGAGTACTTAAAAACATTGCTAGTTAGTAATTGTTCCTTGTTAGAATTAAATATGGGAAGACTGCTCCACAAAGTGTTGTGTGACTTCCCAAGGCCTTGCCACCTGAACGAGTCACAGGAAGCATCCTCCTGGCAGCAGGGAATGGTTATTGACATTTTTCCAGGAGGGCTCATAACCTAACTTAGAGGAATAACAGCCTGGTGGTACATTCAGGGTGAATGGGGAGAAGGGCAATGGAAACGATTAGGAGACTTGCAGGAATTCACTGGCATTATGCCCTTGATGGGTGCAGTTGAAAGCTCTTTGGTTACTGAACGGATCCCTGGAGATTGTGGAAGTGGGTCCAGCGCTGCGGGTGAGGCTGGCAGAGAGCGGGGCTCCTCCTGGGGCGGCGCGGGGAGCTGTGCCGCCCTGGAGGGCTTGAAGCCCCAGCCCTAAGTGCTGCCTTGGCTCTTTCTGATGGGGCGCCAGCCTGGGTGCGTTTCACACTGCCTCTCACAAGGCATTTTTGTTTGATTTGGTTGACATCAAAGTTGGCTTAAGGGGCTGGGAAACCTCTTAACAGAGGGATTTTGTTAGCCATTGCTGAGCTAAAGGAGGCCTGACTGATAAACCTGTAAACAGCCCTTGGGTGACACACTGATGCAATTTTGTATAGCCCTAGGTTTTGAAAAATACTTTGTGGAGAGCCCAAATGAAGAAAAGTTGCTGATAGTTCTTGGTTTATAAAGCATTTTCATGTAAGTTACCCCATCAAAGGTGGATAGGGTAGGAAACAGTGAAGAAAGCAGGCTCTTAGGAGAGAATGGAATTTGCCCCAAATTACAAAGCAAATGACAGAACTGCAACACAAACCAGAATTTTTGGTGAATATTACTTATTAGGAATACTTATTAGGAACCTCCTACGGTTGCATTATGTGCCCTTCGCTAACACAACAATCCCCAAGTGGGTATCAATTTTCCCTCCTTTTTGGATGAAGGAATGGGCTCAGAGGCAACTGCCTGGAGAGACATGGAGCCTGAACTGGATTCGGGGTCCGCAGAGCTTGGCCTTTCTGCTGCACCAGGCTGCCTCCCAGCATCTTCCAGCTTCTCCAAGACTTACTCTCCGGTTTGCATTGCCTCAAAACAGCAAGCTTGTCATTAGAAGCATGGAGCAATGATAGAATTAGTTTATTGAGAAGAAAGCTGGTGTTTGCTTCCTGTGGTGCCTTAACTGGCGAGTGGTCAGGCCGTGGTGAGGCTTCCCTTGTGTGACAGCCTCTCTGCCTCCTCCTACTGGTCGTGTGGTGAAAGGCAGGCCACTGCGGCCTTTCTGTGCACTCAACTCCAGTTTGAAGGACTCTTCTTCCCACTGTGGGGCTGCATGGGGAACACCGGTCCAGGGCCTGGGACCTGTGGGGGGCCAAGTCACCAGGACACTCGGGTTCTTGTCCTGGTTCTGTCACTGCCTCAGAAGCACCCTGGCCACACACCTCCTTTGAGGCTTCATTTTCATCACCTATAAAATGGCAAAGTGAACTCAGTGATCTCTCAAGCTATCTTCAGGCTTGAACCTTGAACCTCTGTGCATGTGTTGGAAGATCTAAAACAGCTTAGGTAGATGGAGAAAACAACCCTTTTTGAGAGCTGTTAGACCCAGGGTGATGTGCTGAGCTCTCATCATACAGTATTCCAGTTAAGCGCCATAACCCAAGGTGCAGTAGTATTCCCCACTCTCTGAACCACTCCAGAAGAGAAAACTGAAGGCTGCAGAGCTTAAAACACTTGCTTAAGGACTCAGCTGGGAAGTGGCAGCCTTAAGCCAAAGTCCCCTCACAACCACATGCCATGTCCTGAGCCCCTCTGGCAGCACAGAGATGAACCTCATCCCGTCTGGGGCAGGCTGATGCAGAGGGAGCAAGATGAGATTCTGAGCTGAGTTCAGAGAGAGCCGTCCAAATAGCCAAGGGAGACGTGTATCCAAGGCAGAAGGCCCAGCCTGGACAAGACACAGAAGCACCAAGAACATGACCAGCTCTGGTCCGCGGCCCCCCTCCTGCCTGACATTCCTTCATTCAGAACCACTCTTGAGTTTGGGGAAGCAGGCTGCTTTGTACTAGAATCCGGATCTGGTCTGTACACTGGCTGTCTTCTGTGGCATTTAGCAAACCTGGGTCCCAGAATCTCCTGCTGTTTCTTTATGCAGCTGAGGTGGAGGTGAACCTGGCTCGTTATGAGACCTAATTGATGTTGGGGAGGTTCCTAGAGCGCTTGGTGAAAGGTGCCCTGTAAATCTGAGACACAGAAGACTTGTGCCACATTCATCATAGTGTTTAATGTCCTGATTGATCTCCAGGGTAATCAATTTCATTTTTGCTTGTTTCAGGATGAATAAGCAGGCTGCTCCCCTGTGCTGTAGGCTAGGGCCCTGCATGAAATTATGCCAGTGCTGCGCCTCTGGCAGCTTGCTGTAAGTATCGCAGCCGATATTCCATCATTTCATTTGATAATTAAATTTGGCACCAGGAGATGATACCAAACTTTTTAGCGCTAGAGAAAAAGAAAGTCCAGAGTAGTTATAAATGTCAGGGAAACATAGATTTGGGCTTGTACTGGAACAGAAAGGCAGCTAAGGTGCTTCCTGTCTCGGGCACAACAGTGCTGTCTTCCCTCAGGCTGATGCCAGGACATGATTTATAGGCAACAAATGGAGATACACCCGTGGGGATGAACCCAGGAGGGGCTGACTGCCTGGGCTGGCTTTGGGGGCTGGAGACAGGGCACATGTCCACTTCTCTGCACCCATACCAAACTATCGGCGTCTGGGGTAACAGCATTTCCTGGGCAGCCTTCCACAGAAGTGCTGAACGTGGTGAGTAGGCAGTGAAACACCCCAGGCATCTATTATCAATAAGGACAGTTTCTGTTTGGGTCTCCCTTGAAACATTCTCAAAGGGCTTCCCCTTCCATTACGTCATTAGCTCTCCCAGCCACCCTCAAGGGGAAGGGGGCCCAGGAGCTAGTATTCCTGTTGCACAGGGGGAAGAAGTGGGTCCAAGGATTCACTTGGAACTATATAGAAGAACAGAAGCGGGGCTGGCTGAGAATCCAGATGCCTGGGCTTTGTGCACAATAGCCCGAGTGGGATGATCCGCACTTCTCTACTGTCCTGAGATGTCCATTCAAAACTTGGGGTTAACTGTGTGTCAGACCCCAAAGTTGTTGGTTGTCTTTGTTAAGAAACTCTACACAGGTGTCCTGTTGACTTGTTTGTAAGGTACTTTCCTTTTAAGAAGGCTTCCTGGAGCCTTATCTCATCTGAGGCTCTCCACAGCTCCCAGAAAGCAGGGCCCCTACTCTCAATCTTCCCCTTCAGAGATGAGGAGCCGGCACCCGAGAGGAGCACGGGGGGCAGAACGGAAGCCTCGATCAGCAGCTCTCTTGAAGCAAGACAGGAGCTCCTGAGCTGAGGGTCATGGGTGGAATGGACACGTCACCCTGAAGAGCATTCCAGGCCACCTGCCTCTGATCGTGCAGGGTCTGCAAAAAGCCCCCCAGTCTGTGTGACTTGATCTGAAAAGCCAAGGTCTGGGTGAGAGGCCTTGCCTGGTGCTGGCTGGGGAGGGGCCAGTTCAGGGGTGGCCTTACAGCTCCCCAGTTCTGGGTGGACTTCGGGTCGAGCCTGCAGGGCCCTGGCCTGGCTTCCCTGTGGGCTGGCCACCAGCACTGCCGGCTCCAAGCGGCGCCCGCGCTGTGGGGTTTGGCATGTCATGGCACCTTGGCCAAGGAATTGTCTGCTCTCCAGCTCCGGTGGTGATGCTGGGCGAGGAGGCTGGCTCTGCAGGAGGGGCCCTGAAAGAGGGTGGGTGATCCCTCTACCTGAAAGGGCCACAGGGGCTAATGGAGGGAACTGCCCAAGGCTGGAGTTCTGATTTCTGTTTCTGGCTCAGTTCCAGGCAGCCCATTTCACCATATTCAGCCTGACCTACATCACCATATCCAACCTAGGCAGACCTGGGTTTGAATCCTGCCACTAGCTTACTAGTTGGCTGTGTGCCCTTGGGAAGTCATTTAATCATTGTGTACCCGTTTTCTCTCCTTTGTAAAGCAGAGAAGCAGCACCCACTTCTCAGGGCTGTGATACAGACAGACTGCAAAGTGCCCCTGTCACAGCAGGAAATGAGTGACTGAGAACCATTACTGTTCTCACCCTCTGGTTTTCAGGGAACAGCGGCTGTTACCCAGACCACAGTGAGCTCTCTCAAAGGGTGGGCGAGCAAGGGGAAGCCCTTTCCCAGAGCTGCAGACCTCCCAGGGAGCGCGCGGGCTCCATCTCCGCAGATCCGCAGCTGCCCACCAGCCGTGACTCTGGGCTATGGCACCCGGGGGAGCCGTGAAAACCAAAGCTTTTACACTCCACCTCCTGCACTCCAGACCTGGAGGCCCCACCCCACGCCCATCCCCAGGCAGGTAAGTGGCTCCCACTGTCTCTGTGCACCCTCTGATGCTGTGACTGTGCACTCTGCTTGGAGAGGCAGGGACCTGGTAACATTCCCAGTCTAATCTGCTTATGCAGCATTTCTGACACTGGTGGCCTGTTGATGCACGAAGGCCGCAAGGATCGCTCAGGCAGACTCTGACCTCACAGTGTTTTTGTAAATACCCTGCGATGACCAGTCTTAAAAGTGGTGTTCTTCTGTGGTCTTTCTGGATGGGAAAACCGAGGAAGCGAACAGCAGTGACTTGCCTGGCAGCTTATCCCATCACGCTCCCGTCTGCCCTGTGCTTTGCTCTGGGTAGAAGTCCACAGCAGAGGTAAGTACTGGCCGGCAGCTGGGGCTCACCCTTGGTACCAGGCAGGCGGGCCCATCTCCCTGTTGGGGTGGCCAGCACTAGCCCAAGAGCTGGGGTGATGGGAGCTCAGCAAGGGGGGTGTCGGAGGTCAGCAAGCTGGGCCTGGCCAAGGATGGTAGTTGCTTGTCGTCCAGCAGATGTAGACCCCAGTTAGGACCCCGCTGGTTCCTGCCTTACAGATTGTAAATCACGTGATGCCCTCCAGCCCATCACGTGCCAGCAGCTGAGCATGACTACTCTGCTCCCAAAAGCTCTGACCTGGGAGCCCCAGCACTCACCACGCTGCCAGGGGGGTCTGGGCTCCAGTGTTAGTGCTTGTCTTCTTAGTGTCTGACCTCACGGAAGATTCTCCAAACTTTCTAGGCCTCAGGTTCTTCATCTGTGAAATGGGGCTACGATACCCACCTCACAGGGTCGTCTAAAGATACAAGGAGCCCAAGTGTATGGAAGCCTTTGCAGAGCACCTGGTAATGGAAGCTGCAGTTACACGGTTGGTGGCCCCCAGTGCCTCAGACACGCCCCAGAAACGGCTTGGTTGGGTGCTGCTGCCTCTAACGCCTGTTTTGACAAACGCTAACCTATCTCCCCATGAATCAGGAGGGTGCTGTCTGCCTGCGTGTGGTGATTTCCCTCCCTTTCTTCCAGTTCAGCCATCTTTCCTGAGTGGCTCTGGGCCAAAGCCTGTGGCTTCATGCAGGGTTCTGGGGCACTAACAGGACTCAGGCCTGGTCCCCGTGCTCAGAGCAGGGGAGGCAGGCAGGGAGGCAGGTGCTGACGAGCCACAGCTCTGCCCAGGCGAGTCCATGGGCCACAGGAGCGCAGAGAGCGCCCCCGCCTGCCGGGGAGGAGCTGGCGGGACGAGCCAGAACAGCGAGTCGGGTGGGAAGGGGGCACGTCAGGAGGGGGCATGGGGGCAGCAAGCCCGCTCACGAAGGGGCTGTGACGACACCGAGAAACCCGGGTGAGGCAACGGGAGCCCTTGAAATTAAAACAATTAAGTCGTCTTCCCTCCTTTTTTTAGACAGAAAACAAAACAGTGGTCACAAACACAAACTCTCTTGGAGGCTTTTCAGCAAGGGAGACGCTAATCAGACAGGCTCAGCAGCCCGGAAGGACCCCCCGAGAAAGGGCATAACCAGAGGCTCGATCTGGGGACCCAGGAGGAAGAGCAGACTTCAAGCGGGGTACCACACTTCACTTCGAACCTGCGGAATCTGAGGCCCCCAAGAGATGGAGCCCTGGGTCGGGGAGCTGTCAGCAAGGCAGGCAGAATTCTGAGCTCCACTTTGGCGGGGAGATGAGGGAAGAGAAGGGGTTGGTCCAGAGTCACACAGTGGGGCAGCCTCACGCCTGGGGCCCGGGGCTCCTCCCGCTCTGTAAGGGCCGCGCGGGGCTGCCCCAAACCCGAAGGAGCCGCTCTGAATTCCTCACCTGGGTTAGCAGCCAGAGGAAAACCTCTGCCATCTGGAAGTGCTGGTTTTATTATTAGAGCCAAGATTGGAGAACGGCTGTCCCCACTACCCGCCATGAGCCTCCCACCCGCCTCCAAATCCACCCCTTTTTGTCCTGTGAAGGTGAAAACTAGATTTGTCTTGAAAAGACCCAGAAACACTCATGCCAAATTAGAGAATGAGAACAAAATAGGCTGAGATGGTGGTCTTTGTGTGACCATGTCTGTTCCACCCAGGAGTCCCCACAAAGACAGCCTGGGGTGGGGCCCGAGGGCCGCCCTCACAGTGTGTCCCCAGGGCGCGGGGCGGGGTCAAGAACCAGGCAGCAGAGGAGGCTGAGGGGCCCCTCGCCCTGCCCTGGGGGAGCCGGGCCATACACTGGTTCTGTAAAAAGGGTTTAAAACACCCGAGGCACAAGCACCAGCCTCCCTAGCAGGGCCAGTGGGGGCACCAGCTCTGGGCCTTGAGGTCCGAGGCACCCGCCTCCAGGCCTGGCGATGCCTCCCTGGAGGCAGGGGCACCCTGAGGCCGCCCCCCTCCCAGCCCGCCCACCCAGAGGCTCTAGGCGTCAGGGACCCGGTTCAGCTCCTGCTCTTCGGATTCCAAGGGTCTCGACTCCCCCAGCAGGAGAGCAGCGAGCCGGGCGTGGGTGGCAGGCCTGATCTGAAGGGCAGCGATGCCCTCCTGATTCTTCCGGGTCCGCAGACTTGCTCTGTGCCCTTGCCTGGGGCTGGCTGGGGCCGAGCCTGCCGGGCTGGGCCAGGGGAGGGGGGCTGCGTCCGACGCCCTCCGGGACGGGGTCCCCTGGCAGGGGGCACCACAAGTCCTGGACAGCGTCCCCTGCCACCTGCTGCTGGGCTGATGCCGGCAGCGGCACGGGAGCGGGGCTGGGCCTGTGGGGGGCCGAGCCGCAGTCTGTGGAGGAGCCCAGAGCCTGGCTACTGTCGCTCCGGGTCCGCGGGATGGAGCTGCGCGCCAAGCGGGAAGTGGTCTCGGAGGTGGCACTGCCACAGGCGCCATGGCTGCCGCTGTCTGGGGGCACGTTGACTGAGAAGAGGTCAGATGAGACGTTGGACTGGTGGATGTCTATGGCGGCCACGCACAAAGCTGGCTCTGGCACAGCGCAGTCTGCAGGAAAGGAGGGGATGCTGGTCACGCTGCCCCCTGCCCCTCCCCTGCGGACCCTGGTAAGGGTGGGTCCAAGCTGAGCCAGGTCGGGGAGCAGTGGTGGGTGGAGGGCAGTGCCTGTGAATGGGCTTTGCTGGGGAAACCTTGGAAGATGGTCCAGTTCTGCTACATTCATGACCCTGAGGGAGGGTGTGCCCCCCCCATCTTGTTGAACTCAAGGGCAGACCTGGGACGAGCCCTGGCCAGGCAGCTGTGAGAACCGGCACTGCCACATGAAGATGTATAAACCAACTGTGCTTGCCCTGGCAGTCAACAATGTTCTAGAATAGATGGTAGCTGCTCTGCCCACCGGAGTAAAAATAACCTGGAAACAGAGCCCCTAGCCAGTGGGCCATAGGCCCTTCCTGATTTATTCCAACCACTGAGAAGTGGGGTTCTCTGCCACCACAGCATGAGCCAGCCCCCCTGACTGGCTCGGAAAGTGTTAAGTGCAGGGGCCAGGAATTTGGGCTTCACAGTTGGAGTCATTCAAAGTTTTAAATGGGGCTGGTGTGGGACCAACACGATCAGAGCTGTGCCTTCAGAAGACTGATTCATCTCTGAAGGATGCCCTGCAGGGGGGACGCCGGGGGACACCTTAAAGGGCCCGCAAATGAGAAGCATCCCAGGGCCGGATTACAGGGTGCGGAGTGTGGGCAAGGCTTCTCCCACTGTTGTGGGAAGAGTGGGTCGGGAGAGGCCCGGGCTGGAGATTGTGGTCTTTGAAATCAACAGATTGCATGAGGCTTTGAAAGTGGAGAGAAATAAGAGGGAAGAGGCCTTTAAGGGGCTAAATCGTGGAAAAGAAAAAATCCAGGTGCCTTACACGTCACACAAGATAACACTCTAGCCTTACAGTGGAGCATACAAGGATTTAGGGGCTGTGACATCTGAACTACCAGATTCAAGACATTGGCTAAGCAGAAACAAGACGCTGAAGGACTAGGCGGTAATGTAAAACTCGACCTTTTGCGTAAGTGAGAGTCAACAGTGGCTCCCTGGGACTTTCTCTAGTGCAAGAATAAGGCATAAAGCAAAGGCGTGCCCTCCACCTGCTGCCTGTCGGGCCCAGTTATGCTGTCATCTCACCCCCATCTTGCTCATCCCGAAAGGTCTTTAGCTTGGGAGGCACCAAGGTCACTTAGATTCCAATCCTCTTTTATTTCAGGGTCACACATGCAGCCCTCACTGCTGAGCAGACACTCCTGAACTGGCACCCACAGTCCTACAGCTGGGGTTCGCAGGTGCCAGGAGACGGGCATGCCCGGCTGAGTAGTCCCTACCGACCCTCAGTGCTAGCGGTTGCAGGGCCACATCTGGCAGGGGCCCCACAGAGGTCCTGGTGTGTGCAGAACCGCCCCCAGGGAAGACTCACCGCTGCCGGGCCCGTTGTAGTGCTGACCGACACAGCTGTTCCTGTCACCTCTCACTGCAGCTTCTGGGGGGGGCAGGGACAGAGAAGGGTGAGCGGGACGGCTCACCAGAGACCCCAGAAGCGGAGGCTGCAGCCAGCTTGTTTCCTCTCCCGGTTTTCCCACCCCTGCACCCGTCACCAGGGAGGAAGCACTTGTCTTCCAGAAGCTCTCTGCCACCTCCTCATGTTCCTCGAGACCCAACCGCACGTCTCATTTGCTCCAGGGCTGGGCTGGACTGGGTATCAGGGATCCAGGTTCTGATGAAGCGACCAGCTTGATGTGGGACGTGGGCAGGGTCCTCACCTCTGAGGTCAGGGCTGTGGAGATAGCACCTCAGGGCTTTCACTGGTTGGATGGCCGGAGTCTCTGAAACCACCCGAGATTCTCAGGGCCACCAGAAATGCTATTCTCAGTGTAAACGTCTCCAAGCACCATCTAGAGCCCCTCAGCCAGCCACAGAGGCTGACCCTCAGTGAAGGCCCCTCAGCTCGGTCCAGGACACACAGGGATGGGCCCAGGGGGGCTGGGCCTGCCTCACCACACACACGATTCCTGGCACATGGGTACTTAATGAACAGTCACTGCATAACCAGTGAGAGGGGGTAAAGCTGTCCAAGTCAGGGGAGATGACATGAGAACAGGGTCTCAAATACTGGTTCATCAACCTGACAGGAGTGGGAAGGATGGAGAGAGAGGAGAGGTGGCCTGAGAACATTAAGAGAAGCAGACGACAGGAGACCCAAATGCCATCCTGCGGAGAATGGCCTCGTCCCCGCAGCAAGGGCCACAGAACAGCCGGAACGAGTGTGAGTCTTAAACCCATGTTCTTTCCTCATACCACTCACCCTTTTGCAGCTTCTTTGCAACTTGGTGTGAGGCCCTCCCGGGTCCAGACTGACAACTCCAGGGCTCCCCCATATCTGCAGGGCCCCCCATGACGTAAACACATTAGGAGGCCAGCGATAGCAGAAACCTCAACCTGCCTCCATTAGCACACAGGCCACTCCTCTCCCAGGGGTGAACACTGTGCCAGCTCTGCTTGGCGGAGGGAAGGCCCAGACCAGCTGGCCTGGTGCACCTCTGGGGGGATCTGAGCGCTGGCGCAGCATGGGGCGGGGGGACACAAGGTTCACTGTGATATACCGTGAAACTGTGGCATTCCCACTGGGGGCTGTAATTCGTGTGTTATAGGTGAACCTCAAAACTAATAAATTTGGGAGGGAAGTATTAATGACTACACAGGGGCACAGTGAACTTGGCAGGCCCCAAAGCCTGGAACTTTGCAGCCTGGGTTTTAAAAATGATTTGTGCTGGAGCAAGTCTAAACAGAAGCTGATCCGAGTTAGTCTGTGACCTGCTGGCAACTGTGAGAGGGCAGGAGCTGCTTGGCATGCCTGCCCCCCAGGGCTGCCTGCCCCCAGCAAGCAAGGCACTCTCCAGGGGCTTCTGAGACTTAGTGCTCATGTTTGCAGGTTAATCCTCAGACTTTCTGTGTATTATTGTGACACGGGTGGGCCTTAGAGCCGTCACTGGCCCGAAGGTCATTGTTAGCAGCAAATGCTGACCTTTTTCCAGCTCCAGAGCGGCCCAGGGCGCCCCTAGCTTGTTTGGTCATAATTTCTAATGTCATGGAAATCCCTCCCTGGACACAGCTGCTGGTCACAGAGAGATCAGCTAAGGATGCCCTGTCTCCCTGGCCCATTCGAGGCTGTAAATCATGCATGCCACTTGCTATCTCCCCAAGCTTCTGCCCTCTGCCTCAGAGACACTGGCTTTGCTATTGATGACTCGGAGGGCTGGTGGTGAAGTGGCAGATGGTGGAATGCACAGTGGTGGCCGTATAGGCTGGGGCAGGGATGCCTCCAGAGAGCAGGCAGGTGGGGGATGTCGTAGGGGAGATAAAGGAGGGCAGGGGTAGGATCCCAGGATTAGAGGGGAGGGGTCCCCAGGATGCATGTTCGGCACTCTAGGGAGGCCTGAGACACTGTCCCTCCCCGCATCTCCAGGAAGGTCAGCACAGACCGCGGGACACCCCCTGGCTGGTCAAACTGACCCTCAACGGGCCTCAAGTCTGACCCAGCTTTCTCCGTTCTTACTCTGCCTTCCTCCTCTTCCTCCTGGACGTTGCCCACTACAGGGACTGCAGAGAGAAGAGCAGAATGGAGAGGCAGGGAATCAGAGCTTCACAGCACTCCTAGGGCGCGTGGGATTATTTTAAAGGCTTGGTTTGTTTGCCGACTCTCCAAGCCCAGATCTTAAAGGCCTGTGGACCCAAATGTGACACCGGGTGACCAGGGCCTGGAGGTCATCAGCTGCAGGACAATAATGGCCATGCTGTTATTTCAGGAGCTAAGGGTCCTAATGAGACAGAGACATGCCACGGAATGTGTGGCTGGACTGGACATGTTTACCTGAGTTTAGCTGCTTACAGGTGGGCACACCTGAAGAGAGAACAGCATGGGGCGGGCCCAGGCCCCAGGTGAGCTGCAGCCTTGAAATGGGCTGCAAGCGACAAGCAGGTCCCCACTGCTGCGGGCAGAGCAAGGGGCTCCTCCAGGTCACTCCGCTCCATCAAGGAGGACCACCCTGGGACTGGCCAGGAACACAACGCACACAGCACTTACTGAACCAAAAGATGCTTCGCTTCACTTGGGCAAAAATAAAAATGGAGTGGAAGGAGATGAGGCTGGGGAGGCTGCCAAGGACAAGATCACCAGCGACCTTATATGCCACCTGCTGAATCACTGTGTCTCCTTGAAATATATATGTTGAAGTCCTAACCCTCAGTACCTCAGAATGTGATCTTATTTGGGAAGGGGGCTGTTGCAGATGTAAGTAGCTAAGGCGAGGTCACACTGGAGGGTAAGCTCCTAGCCCAGCGTGACAGGGGTCCTTATAAAAAGGGAAATTTGGATACAGACAGACAAGGAAAACACCTTGTGAACATGAAGGCAGAGATCGGGGTGGTGCTTCTATAAGCTAAGGAAGGCCAAGGATCCTCAGCAAACCATAGAGCCAAGGGGAGAGGCAGGAACAGAGCCTCCCTCCGGCCCTCAAAAGGAACCAGCCCTGCCAAGACCTTGGCCTCAGACTTCAGCCTCCAGAACTGTGAGGCAGTGAACTCCTGCTGTTGAAGCCACTTCAGTGTGTTTCAGCGGCCCTAGCAAACACCAACCAAGGTCAGGGATGACATGAAAATTTTAGAAAGATCACTGTGTGTTGTGTAGGACTATAGGGGATGCAGGATTATAGAGGGCACCTATGGGGGCAAAGCTGAGGTCAAAGGGCCGGGTGAGGTCCAGAAATAAGGAAGGCTGAGCAAAAGGGATGATGACAGGGCATGTTTCACGACATGTGCAGGCAGCAAGGCCAGCAGGGTCGCTGGTGGGCTGTGAGTCAGGGTCTGCAGAGCTCTGGCAACTGGGGCAAAGGCAAGAACCAAACAATCCACAGCTGAACACAGATGAACGTAAAGGTCTGCAAAGCTAACTGCCCAAGAATGTGCTACAGGGAGCCATGTGGAGAAATGTGGGGCTGGGTGAGCCTAGGCCAGGCAGCTACCGAAAGGCTACATCACTGGTGTCACGGGGTACAGAACAGAAGAGCAGTGGTGGCCCCTCAGCACTTGGCCCTGGCCTTGCAGCCCCCCAAGAACTGAGTTGAGTCTGGATATCACTGTGAGAGTGGCCACAACATTGGTGTGCTCAGGAAGGGGCAGCACAGCAGAAGCTGGGAGACCTTGTCCCTGAGGACTGGCTGTGGGGATGCAGGGGACGGTCCCTGGAGGAGAAACCACTGGGGCCAGTCTCAAAAAGGAGGCCTCAGCTGGGAGGTCACCCACAGACAGACACATCAAGCTGTGGCCAGTGGAGAGGCGGACACCAGGGGCAGCTCAGCTCAGGAAGAACTTTCTAACAGGCAGAGCCATTTCGATTTGAGTTAGCAGTGCTTCCCTTGTTGGTCTGCAGTGCCTGTTCTTAAAGGAAGGCAAGCTAAGGACATGAAGCTTCTTGGCAGGGGTTACAGATGGGGTCAGTGCATCGGCTGAAAGGGCTGAATTCAGAGGTCCCTCCTAACCCCCGAATTCTATAATTCTACGAGCTGAAGGTCTCTCAAATGTCATAACAGCAATTGCCCCATTTCCCAAAATCTGTTCACCGTGCCTTACAGCCTACAGAGCTTTCTCAGCCCTGCAGCTCCTCATGTTTCTGTGAGGCAGACAGAGCTGGAGTTAGGAGTCTGCATTACAGAAGGGAGAACTGGAGCCCCCAGTCATGGAGCCGCCGGGCGGCAGTCTGGGGCGCTGGCCTCTTGCCTCCCCACCCTGCCTGCTGTACTCGGTGCCCTGGCAAGGGGAACACAGCATGCCAAGGTGAAGTGGGTCCTCGATCAAGGGCTGCAGGTTCCCACAGCCTGGGATCAAAACCCAGCACCATCATTTCCTGTGTGTGACCCTGTGAAATTCTCCTTATTTTTGGGTCTGTTTCCTCCTTCATATAAGAGAAAGGACATATGAGGATGAAACAAGATCACACTGTAAAAAGCTTCCCTTGGAAAAGTGAGTGGAGGAAACGGCTCAAGATGGTGGCATGAGTAGGGCGGCAGAAATCTCCTTCCAAAACCATACATATTTTTGAAAATACAACAAATACAACTATTCCTAAAGGAGACACCAGAGGATACAGTACAACAGCCAAGCTACATCTACATCTGCGAGAACTCAGCATTTCACAAAAAGGGTAAGATACAAAGCTGTGACCAAGCAGGACCTGAGCACTCCCCCCACCCCAGCTCACCAGCGGGAGGAAAGTAATCAGGGTGGGAGGGAGTGGAAGCACAGGACTGCTAAATAACCAGCCCTAGTAATCTGCACTGGGAGCACAGACACACATCGCATGGTGTAATGGGTATTAGAGGAAAGGAAAAGTAAAATCCGAGACGGAGACTGCGACTGGGTCCCCACAGCCGGCTCCCCTGGGGCCAAAGAAAGGCGGGTGCTTTTTTAAGTCTTAATGGGACAAGGGCTTAACAGCTGGGCAAAATCGTCCTGGCACACCCAGCCCACCAGGCTGGGAATCTTAAGGAACTTCAGGCGCCCTAACCCCCTGGGTGGTAACACAGCTCTGAAACCCCTCACAGCGATAAGCAGCCTGCCATTCAGCCCCACCCCCACTGGTGCTGGAAGCAAACCGACTGACCTGCCGCAGCTGCAGAGCAGCCAGGGAGCAGCCCCACCCACAGCAACCACACAGTCTCCTCCCAGGGCGCAGCTGACTGGGACAGACCCAGAGGTGCCACCGGTGTGCAGCTGTCGGCACAGACAGAGGAAGCCGGAGCAAGGACCAGAAGGCGCAACGGGGAACCGTTCTCACAGGAGAGCACACCCGGCATGTCTGCAACTCCCCGCAGTGCCCTAGGCCGTCCTGCTGGTCACCCCGCCCACGGCAGCTCAGGTGATTGACCCAGAGGATACCCACTGCACCCGGCTGATCGGCACAGGCAGAGGGAGCTGCAGCAAGATCCGGAAGGCATGAACGGGCACTGTTCTCACAGAAGAAAACACCAGGTGCGTCTGCGAGCCCCCGCAGCGCTCTAGTCTCTCCTGAGGTGCGCCCCGCCCATGGCAACTCAGGAGATTATCCGAGACTGTTCCCTGTGCAGGTAACAGGCACAGGCGGCGGGGAAGGGCCAGGCGACCAGCAGGCAAGAAGGCACTTTGTTCTCCCATATGACACATGCGCCACCTGCCATGAAAAGGCAGGAGAACCGACTCCAGTCAAAAATCACTCAGACGACGCCAGAGAGAGGGCCTGGCAGGATAGATATAACCAATCTTCCTGAAAAAGAATTCAAAATAAAAATCATACTCATGTGGACGGATCTGCAGAGAAATATGCAAGAGCTAAGGGATGAATCCAGAGGGAGATCACAGAAATGAAACAATCAATAGGACTTAAGAGCAGACGGGATGAGGTGCAAGAGACTGTTGATGGAACAGAAATGAGAGAACAGGAACACAGAGAAGCTGACGCAGAGAGACATGAAAGGATCTCTAGGAATGAAAGAATATTAAGAGAGCTGTGTGACCAATCCAAACAATATTTGCATTATAGGGGCACCAGAAGAAGAAGAAGAAGAGAGAAAAAAGGATCGAAAGTGTCTTTGAAGAAATAATTGCTGAAAACTTCCCCAAGCTGGGGAAGGAAATAGGCTCTCAGGCAATGGAAGCCCACAGATCTCCCAAAACAATGGACCCAAGGAGGACAACACCAAGACACATAATAATTAAAATGGCAAAGATCAAAGACAAGTACAGAGTATTAAAGGCAGTCAGAGAGAGAAAAAAGTTCACCTGCAAAGGAAAACCCATCAGGCTAACATCAGACTTCTCATCAGAAACCTTACAGGCCAGAAGAGAATGGCATGATATACTTAATGCAATGAAAAAGAAGGGCCTTGAACCAAGGATACTGTATCCAGCGCGATTATCATTTAAATTTGAAGGAGGGATTCAACAATTCCCAGACAAGGAAAAGTTAAGGAAATTTGCCTCCCACAAACCACCTCTACAGGGTATTTTAGAGAGACTGCTCTAGATGGGAGCACTCCTAAGGCTAAATAGATGTCTCCAGAGAAAATAAAATCACATCAAAGAAAGCAGACCAACCAAATACTAACTAAAGGCAAAAAATAAAAACAACTATCCACAAAAGCAGTCAAACAAAGCAAACAAAAGAGTACAGAATAAAACACCTAACATATGAA